CTGAATCATTGAAATCAACAACATGTTAGTAGAAAATGAAATTGAAATTTTAGGAGGTGGCTTACCTTTGTGCTGTGACAAGATCTCAACGACAAACACTACTTCGAAAGTTCCAGGAATGTTGCTTTTAGCCAGATTTGTTATGAGAGCAGTGACTTGTCCCGTGTCATAAAATCCAACTTCTTTGGGGATGGTTGTCTCAAGCACATCCTCTTTGATGAATTCTAGATATTCCCCAACCACTTCTTTCTCTTGAATCTTTGGAAAGGTTTCGAGATGTCTTTTTCACTATCTTCTTTCTTGGATTAAATAAACCTGCGAGGAAAATGTACATTTGGTGGAATAGGGTTAGAAAGAATTGAATTTGGAACAGCCTTACTTGAATTGGGTGGTGGTGGAGCTAGGGTGGCTACAACACTAGGATTAGAGATGATTGGGTGATGCGGCAAGGGTTCTTCTAAGCTTGCCGTGGCTGAGTCTTCCTCCTCCTCTTCGGACAACAACTATTTGTCCACTTCTAGGCTATGTTTGGACATCTTTGGTTCAGCTCCAACCTCCATACCACTTCCCAACGTGATAGCATCAGCAATTTCAAAATCTCCCGTTGAATTGACAATAGTTGAGTTGGAGAGTTCACTTTGTTCTTGAATTTGTCCCATGAATTCTGTGATCTATACAAGTTGATTTTTCAATTCGACCATCTTTTTAGGTAGGTTTTCTAGATCCTGAGTCAAAGAAGCCCAAGAAGTATTTAGTATTCGAAGAATTTGAACATGATCCATGGAAATGCTTGAATTTGGTTGGAATTGTTGTGGGGGAGGTTGTGGTGGCTGCATAGGTTTTGAATAGAACTCCTCAAATGGCTACCAATATCCTTCTTCTTGAACTTTTTGAAGTTCCCTCCACATAAAATTTGAATGATCTCTCCCACCTCCATTCTCAATTAATTGAAGATGGTGATTAGTTTGATATCCTTGCCTATAGGACACACCAAATGTAAGGACACTTTGCATTGTGGACCTTTCAACATACTGCGACATAAGAGAAGTAAGATTTACCATTTGAGCTTGAAGATTAGTAATTGCCATGTCTTGCTTCTCTAGTACCTGAAATCAAAGAAATAAAACTAAATCAAATATCAAAAGAAAAATAAACAAAAAAAAGAGCGATTAGCAATTTTACTAATCCCCAGCAACGCCGCCAAAATTTGATGTGGTAGAAACTAACGCACAAATTAAACCCTATAAATTATGCGAGCGTAGTACGTGTAAGTAGGGATAGTTCTATTCCAGGGATTAGAAGGGATGCTAATCAACACAAACTAAACTTATAAAACTGAAAACTAAATTAAACTAACATTAAAACAATGAGAGGGGAGATTTTGGACGAATTTAATTAAAATAAAAGTAAAGGGCATCAAATAAATTAAGTTGTGAATGAAATATGGATGAAATGATAGCTAAAGGATTCTTCTCCACACATGAAACATATGCATACAAATCGATTTATAGTTATTCTTCCTATAAACCATGAATGACAATGCTCCAAATTAAATGTGAATAGCATTAATTAATTCTCATATTTTCCTAAGTTCATTGAATTCGACTCAGTGACGCAACCAAATTATTCTTCTCAAGTTCCATACCTATGAAAAGCATGATAGAGATACATCTCAAAAGATCATTAAGTTCTTTGAAAATTATAAGTATTGACAAGATATTCGTAACTATGAAAAGCATGATACTCCTGTCAGGAATTTACTTAACTCAATCATGACTAGTGATTTTTACTACTTGCAAATATAAGTTCATAACGATTAGGTGAAATTCCCTTATATTCTAGCATCAAATCCATGCATGCAAACTAAGTGTGCACCCTTAATAAACATACAAGAATAAGTTCTCTATAAAGCAAATAAGTAAATCGCATTCATATTTTATGAACAATAACTGGATGTAATCAATTTATATAAAACATATGATCATGGTTTCGAATTCACCTCTAGCTAAAAGGAAACTTAGTTACACATGTTTATCATAACTAAAAAGCCATCTAAAATAAACATTGAAACTTAAAACAAAGATAGAAAGAACTCTAAAAATTCCAGCAACTTCAATGGATGAATGGTATGCATGGCACATCCTAAATCTCTGCAAGAATTTCATATATATAGGCGAAAATGGCTGAATCCAAGGAAGAAAAGGTTTTGGCATTTTTGAGTTATTTTAGGACTCTAAAAATTAGGTAGAAAGTGTTGGAATGTGATTAGGATTCCTCATTGCAGCTGGAGATAAGATAAGATAAGGTAATTTTCCTCTCCAACTAGGATTCCTCTTTCTTGTGTAATTCTTTGTCTTCCAAGCCTCAACTTTAATTTCTCTAGATTTTAGCACATGTTTAGCACCATTTAAACACAAAAAATGTCCAGCCTATATGCTATCCACGCATGCTATCCAATCCAAGTCCAAAACTACTCCAAATTGCTCCATTTAGCTATTTATTGTCATCTTTACCAACTGGACCTACAATAATACGAAAATAGCTTAAATTACCAAAATAAATGGAAATTAACTAAGTAAATGCAAAGAAATAAGATAACAAAGTCGCATAAATATGCTCCTATCGGGGAGCAGCCTTGAAATATGTTAGTTACCCTCACAAATGAGGCATTAACAGGTGTGCATTATGCCTTTCGAAATGCCTTCAAGCCTACCAAGACTTGATGAAATGGCAATATGTATGCTATTTCTGGTATAAAAAACAAAAATTGCGCGCTGCTCTCGCTATTCTTACTGACCCCCTAATATTATTTTATGGATTTGCCACTGATTAGACTTCATGGCTACACAATATACACTAAATAGCCAGTGTTCTAAAAAATGTTCAAGGCTGCCGCCTAGGCGTTCGGCGGTGGAAGCCCGCCGCGATTTGGGGAAAATCGTTTAAAAAATCGGTGGGGATTTAGGCGGTCTAGACAGTGCTAGGCGGCGCTCTAGGCGGTCTGAAATTCTTGCCGTCGCACAAGGTGCTCTGCAACTCTCGCCACCACTGAAGGCTCTGCAAGACTGTAACTCTCTCACCTCGAACTCTCGTAGCATCTGCAACTCCAAGTTTCCAACACCTGCATCGCATCTCACACCTCGCATTTGGCATCTGCACCTGCATCGGAAACTATGGCTGCTTGCTAGAGATTTTTGGAAAAAACTCAGAGAAGAGAGAGTGCGAAAAGAAAGAGAGAGAGAGAGAGAGAGAGAAGGAGGCTTAAACATTTGAATATGTGGTGGTGCATGTGCAACCGTGCAAGTTGAGGACCGGGAATCCAAGGTCAAAAGCATGGTTTTAATTATAGAACTATGGACTCTGACATGGTTTAATTATGAAACCACAAGGTGGACAGGTGATGTGAAAGAGTAGAGGTGAGGTGGACGGTTTCATGGTTTTAGTAATGAAAACCACCCACCATGTGGGCTTTTTATATTTTTAAAAGTTTGGTGTGTGTGTGTATATATATACACACATATATAAATCTTATATAAATTATAAATTATTTAGATAATATTTTGTATTTTTTCCTAGGCAAGTATATCATATATGTACAAAAAATATTCACATATGTATCTTCTTTTATAAGAAATAACATATAAGTCAATAATTATTTACATTTGATATAATAAATTTAATTAATTCATAAAATATATAAGAAATTTACCTAAATCCACCTAAGCGCTAGGCGCTAGCCCGCCGCCCGATTAGCGCCTAACGTTTTTTAGAACCTTGTAAATAACTTTATAGACTATCCAAGAGTTCTACCATAACTCTGAGCTCCTTCAAGAGTATGGTGCAACAATATAATTTCGAACAAACAAAAGTACTTATTGAGGCAATATATTCCAAATTTATCTGGAATAGGTATTGAATGCATGTTTTGAGTTTTATGCTTGTAAATTGAAATCTTTAAGTAAAAATTCATGGCCTTTTCATACTTTTAGAAATGGTTTCCAAATTGAAATCTTTTTTGTTTCGGAATTTGTAAAGGTCTTTTAACATATTTGTACCAAAGCAATTTGCATTGTTACAAAATTAATTGCAAACTATATAATGTGTATCGTGGGCTTTTAACAGATAAGTATCTTACATTATTATATTTCTTTATTTTCCTCCTATTTTGCATTTTATATGGTTTTAAATTGTAAACTTGTTGTACATGTTTCATCCCACAATACTCCTCACTCTGGTTATATGGCATATATGCTTAATGTATTTTTAAAATTTGGACTTGTTGGATACTGTTTTTGCATTTTATCATTATTTTATTATCTTATCTGTTGATTTCATATAAGTATAATTTTTTGTAAGTGTCAATATGCATTTATTTACAAAATATTCAATAAATTTACCTAAATACGCATAGGCGCTAGGCGCCAGCCCGCCGCCCGACTAGTGCCTAGTGTTTTTTAGAACCTTGCTAATTTTTACTCTTGAAAAATTAAACAATTTGATTTGACTAAATTTTTAACAAAAAGTTAGGTAGGCGGTACATTCACATTGAAACATAAGTTTTGAGGCAAATAAAAGGTTTATAACAATCTCAGTTGGGAAGGTTGAAGGCTTCTCCTCTTTGTTTTTTTTTTCTTTCTTTGTTTTTTTTTTTTTTTGGTCGAAATTCTCCTCTTTGTTAAGTTGAAGGTATAAGATGATTTTAGATGGGAAGAGTGTCACTAATTTTGATTCCGCCCAAAATGGAAATTTTTTTTTTAACAAACGACATTAGGGGGAACAGGTGGGCAGTGGTCTTAATCTAACAATGAGCTAGCAATATTATAGTTTGAATTCGCATTTGGCGAGAGAATGGAGGGTATTTGGGCCATAGGCAACGATGATAAGCCATATATCTCTCGAATTGAGCTCTTATGTTTAAGCTCAGCCCAATGTAAGGATCGATCCACTGAATTTTGAGCCCAAATCTGTAACCTTGATCCGCTCAGTCCACGGTGCCCTCAAACCCGAATCTTAACCCTAGGGTTTTTGGTATTTTCAATTTTCCAAGCTCTCCCCTCTTCTTCTCACTGTCAGTGTGCGAAGGCGAGGCTCGCGAGGGAGGAGGATGACGAAGTTCAGGAAGCTAAACCGACCCACGGGTCACCGCATGTCCATGCTCAGGTTCCTAATCTCACAGGTTTAGCTTTCGAAGCTCAAAATGTTAATGTAATTATGGTTGAAAGAATTAGTGTGGTTTGATGCGCAGGACGATGGTGTCGCAGTTGGTGAAGCACGAGCGCATTGAGACCACTGTTTCCAAGGTACCTCCTTCTCTTTTTATTCCTTCTCTTTTTATTCCTCCTCTTTTTTTCGTTTATTTGTTGGGATTTTCCCACATTTTACAAATTTAGAGGTTTTCTGGGTTTAGGGTTTTAGTTAATTTCTTTGATTGAAACAGTACTATCTGATTATATTTCTCTTCTGTCTATGATTTTGTATTTTTTGTAATAATTATATTAAAATTCCTTTTCTTTTGGTGCCTGAACCCTGATACATTTTTTATGCCATGGTCAAACAAGTTTATAAGGACAAAAAGTTTCACCGTAAGCTTCGATGTTTCGGCAAATTTAAACTTTAGGTTTAAATGTTTTGTTTGTTCTATTTGCAGGCCAAAGAGATCCGTCGCGAGGCTGATAAAATGGTGCAGCTTGGAAAAGATGTATGTATTTGATTCTGCTATAATTGTGTTTAAATATTACATTTGCGGGCTTTACATTGTTATATTTAATAATTGGTTTTAGAAGATGAAGTTTTTCGTTGACAGAGATTTATGTAAGCTATAGCCCATTGGAGAGAATCTTAAAGTGACTGTTTCGGTTAACATATAGGCCCTGCTTCTCTTTAATTACAGAAATGAATAGGTTTGAAATAACACACCTTCTGATTTGTACATGAGGAACACATGCTTGAGTAACTCCTGGTTCCCAAGTTTGAAATTCTGTAAATTGTGACGTTATTCCAATTGGATAGAAAATTTTATGCAATCTTAGATAGCCCAACATGAGATTGAAATGTGAGGTGCAAGTATTGGAGTGATGTTGAGTTGCACGTGTTGAAAATTTTGAAGTTCGAAAACATGTTAGGTGCTTATATTTGGTGGTCTATAGATGTTCTGTGGATTTCCAAATAATCTAAACATAGTGAATCTTTGGTGATTCAATCACCCTGTGTTCTTTAGTTGTTGGGTGTGAAACATAGTGAATGTTTGATGATTTGATCACCCTGTGTGTGTTTGTCATTGGGTCTTGCATCAGTTTTCTGTTGAAAGCCTTGCTAGTTGTTTGAATGAGAAATACGCTAGTCGGACTGTTGTTTGGGTAAAAAATATCTACCGAAATGCATATGTTAATATTTGATTAGAGAGGTTACATATACCTTTTTATTTTCTTTTGGGTTCGGGAAAAAGGGGTTAATTGTTGGATGTGAACCAGCATCTGCCAACATAATCTACAAGCAAAATAATATCTAATTGAAAAATCCAAGAATACCCAATGCCCAATAAGTCATGCCCCATAGAACCGATACAGTCAGCTGTGAGCTTCATGATAAATATCACTTATTTGAAAGTTTTCTATCTTAACCAGAACTTGGTAGTTTGATACAGTGCTTTGACATTCGTGAGTAAATATGTTTATGTAATTTTATTTTTATCTATAAACACTTTATGGGGGTATTTACCAAAGTTCTAACTCAATATTTGGCTATATGAACATGATGTATTGAAATTTGAAATATGCTTGTACTCTTGTTTTGCGGTGCAAAGTTCTGGAAATATCTTCATTGTTGATCCATTTGTATGGATTTTTTTTTCTCACGTGATTGTGTTCTCTTTCAATATTGAGACAGGGCTCCTTGTGTGCCGCAAGGCGTGCTGCTGCTTTTGTGCGTGGGGATAATGTACTTCACAAGCTATTTACTGAAATGGCTTATCGATACAAGTGAACCTCAAACCTCTTGTTTTTTAAGTCTTCTATATTTTCATTTGTTACATTGGTTGGATATTATGTTACAGAGATCGAGTAGGTGGATACACAAGGCTACTTCGCACTCGTATACGAGTTGGTGATGCTGCACCTATGGCCTATATTGAGTAAGGCTGTTATTTATTTGTTGATTGAAGTATGTTTGTCTGTCTGGCAAAAACAAATAAAACAAAAAAGAAATATGTTTGTCCAATTTAAAAACTTGTAAAGTTGGTTTTACCCATGCTCAAATGCCTAAGTAAAAGAGTGTATGGCCACTCATTTTAACCTTTGGGTATAAATGACCCATTTAAGACCCGTATAGATTTTAATATATAGGCATATTCATATGTGTTATCTTGAACATAAAAACTAAGAGACAACAAATCCACCCAAGCAGAACCCATCAATTCGAATCCAAAATAAAATCAAGTGAAGCCAAAAAATGCCAAATGAAATCAAGCACCAAAATGAAATATCGAGAATAATTCCAAAAAAAATTTCTGAGAAAAAAACCAAGGACAGTTTCGATATAGTTTGTCTCCTTCTTTTGGGGGTATTTGCCCCTCCTATATACCAAAAGGAGAAGCAAATTACTGGGAGTACGATGATTAACAAATAATCTGAGTGCATTTGGTGCATGCAAGCATTCATTTTATGTCCGTAGATGGGCAATTGTCGTTTCTTTCCATATTAATAGGGTAGGAGTCTTTTGGAAAATAAACAAAGATTATATATGAATAAATGGGGTAATTTTGCATTTTATTGATATATTTGATCCTCAGTAACTCTGCCTTCTTAGCCATCTTTGTATACTTGTCTGCCATACTGAATTCATTTTGCAGTGTTTGTTTAATTTACAAATTTTTGCGGACATTGATTGTCCAATATGTGATGCTTTCTAAACCCTCACTTTTCTCCTTGGGATGGAAAAACAAGAGGAAGAAAATGGGAAGCATAGGAAAAAAACATAAGCAATACAATTTACTTGTCTAGTGTCTACCTACCCCATTGCTTAAATAATGCACTGTCTTCAGTTTTTCTTATAATTTGCAGTAGTAACGAGTACAATTCTATATATCAGATAACTCTACTAGCACACAGTGGTTCACTGACTGTTTTGATCAATACTGGTTGATGTTGGGCTACATTCTAACTATGTGTTGGCAAACTTGTATAGGTTCATCGACAGAGAAAATGAGCTCAGACAATCAAAACCACCAGCCCCCCAACCACCTCAGAGAGTTCCTTTGGATCCTTGGGCGAGATCCAACCTTTGCAAGTAGTTTGCACCTCCTAAAGAAGATAAGAGCTCTGAGATTTGATTTGCTGTATTGAGACTTTATTTTCGTAGTTTCAGTTGCCAATATCTTATGATTCCGTCGAGAGTCTTTGATTTCTCGTGGTTCTCCTAATAGTAAGTCTCTGATTTCTTGTGATTCATAGTAAGATGCCCTTTCATCAAATTCATTAGTAATGAACCATTGTGTCAGGCTCGATATGCATTTGGACATCGAGAAGTTGATGCACATCAGTTTTAATTTATTTTGTCGCTATAAGAAGTCGATGGATGTGCCGAGCACGGCATGGCCACAGACTAAGCTCATTTAAATAAAGGAAAATTAATAAAAATGACTTGAAAACTTTGAAATTTAACGATAAGAACAAAATAAAGGGTAAAGTGAATCGTACCATGATTGACTTTTTAGTGTAAAAATGAGGTTATTCGTTAAAGTGAACAGTACTGTGAGATTTTCGTTAAAGTTTCTTTTAAACAAGGCATGGCACAGCATGATTAATAAGAGGTTAGCTAGCTGAGCCCAATGTTTAAGTCCAATTGTTTGATCGGCCCACCACCCATTGGGCCTATCACGAGCAGAGCTTGGCTTGCAGAGCTGGATCATTATGAAGGATCTCATTTATACATTATTTTTTAATTACAAACGTGTTATAGGCATAATTTACTGAATAATTATAGAGAGAGAAAGAGAGAGAGAAGATGCGTAATTTTGAGATGTGTATTATCTCACCCCATTGTTTAATTTTGAGATGTGTATTATCTCATCCCATTGTTTATTTATTTATAGTAGTATGAAAGGTAAATTCTTTACCCCAATAGGATTACTATTATAATAGGATAATATTTAGTCTAAGAGATATGGTAGAATCTCATAAGGATATCCCAGATATGATAGGATTTATACAATCACATTCCTAATCTAATAATACTGCAACACTCTCCCTTGAGTGTGTAAATACTCAATTAAATGGCGCATCAAGTCTTCAGCAATGAAGTAAGTACAGTTGATAAAGTCGTCGGCACAATGAGCGAATGTGAGTCTCAAATCAATGGAATAATGCATAAAAGGTAAAACTCATAAAACCTCGTTATAGTAAAACCCAAGGTGGGATAAAAACCCATAACTAAGTAGAAAAGTGAGAAGTTGTATTAAGTCAAAACTAAACGTGTATTAAGTCAAAACTAAACGTCTTCTGGATGCAAGTAGAAGAGCTCACAAGGGTATGACCAGCCTAAGATGGGGTGCCTCGTCAAAATTTAGTTAGGTAGCAAAAATTCAGTGGGAAAAATGCTCCTAATCGTAAAGAAAAAGAGTATATTAAGATCAAGTAAGTATACTTCTAGATACTCCTCCTAAGTTTGATAGAACTTCCAAATGAGAACTACAAGCATTGCATATGAATAGTTAGGCATATCAATTCCTCGGACAAGCTTCTAGAGATTGGCAAGGTTGTCTGGAGGAATCATTCAGTGGAAGAAGCTACGTCGGTAGAGGTTGGCAAGGTTGTCTGTGTTGGAAATGTGCTTTAAAACCAATCATATGATGATACTTTACGGACATTTCACAAAGTTAAACTAATGTAGTTTAAATATAAAGGGCAAAGATTATTGTTTGAGCCGTCTCATATAAATGTTATATGCTTAAACGATAAGTCTAAGGAATATGTGATTGGGAGAATGCAATCTAAAGAAGTTAGATTCATGAGACCATTCTTTCGTAGACACATCCTAAACATTCCTGATCATAGGATTGCCAATTGGGCATTGACAGTCCGTTAAGATCAGTACGTGCTGTGTCTTCTCTCAGGGAGAGTGACTAGTCTCGAGTCATTGGTGTGTGTGTGACATCAAGACAAGTATGTAGGTGCTCAATAGAGAATGAATTCACTGAACACGATCAACGAAGAGTTCTCATATTCATGTCACATGAGAACTCATGGTTGGGATAATGCAAAGTAGTCCTTTGACCTGAGGCATCACAGTTGTCTTGTGGTTAAGTCCTTGATCTTTGATTATGTCAAAGTCACCCCATCCGCGGGTGTCCACGGCATCGTTGGGGTTAAGCCACTTAGCCATGGAGGCAATTGAATGCGCAACAAGGGATCTCTAACCTTCAAACCGTTTTGGGGAGAATACTCTATGATATGATTGAAAATCTCTGATCAGAGTATGAATGAGATTTAGGAAGGCGTTCCAAATCACATTCAAGGTAATCATATAAGTAAACGAATCACATTGGATAGTAGACATGAATAAACTATCAAACCAAACAATGTGGTCAAGAGTATTGTATTAGAGAAATACTGTATTGCATTTGTAATCCTAAACTGAATAGGTTCTCCACCTCTTCTGATTAGCTTGGGTAACCATGATATGCTGCTAGGTGTTACTCATGGTTTGTGGAAGCCCTAAACGTGTATAATCACTAAAGGGAGAATTAAAAGTAAGTTTCAATTCACAATCGGTTTGAAAGAGTTCTAATCGCCCACTACCTCGCTAAAAGGAACCTAATGGATCGTACACCGTGTAAGGTAAAGATTGAATAAACAACGGAGATGAGTAAGAATAATTAAATGGTTTAATTATTTATGGCAAGGATTAATTAATATGTTAATTAATCAAACGAATAAGTTCGTTAAAAGACCACGGGTTAGTTTTGGGCCTCAAGGCCCAATGGGCTTCGAACGTCAAACCCATTGACTTAAGTTGTATGACAACTTAATGACTATTAATTCACAAAAGCCCAATAAAACCCTTGTGGCCGGCCATGTTAGAAGAATGGCTTTTTGGTTATTTAGGTTACTTATTTGAAGGGACTATATAAATGACTTTATAGCCTAAATTCATTAAGGGTTTTCTTTTGGAGAAAAGATGAGAACACAAAGCTCTCTTTTCTCTCTAAAGAGGCCGGCCACCCTAGAGGAAATTAACTAGCAATCTTGCTTCCTCTAGGTCACTCATTTCTTCATCAATCCATCCTTGGTGTGGAAACTTAAAGGTTCTCAATTTTGGGAACTTGGATAATCTATTCTTCCATCCAAATGCATGGATCTAAGAAGCAAGGAATGAAGGCCCTCTCTTTGGGTGATTAGCGTTTGCTTATGCAAAGAGGAATCTACAAAAGTATAAATTTCTCAACTCGTTTTGATTTGAGTTGGGTCTTGGTTCACCAATCTACTAGGCTTTGAATTTCTTGGTTAATGTTTTGTTTTAAGTGCATGCTAGCATGATTCCGTCTTTAACTGTTAATTGCATGTTAATAGATGTTGCTTAAATGAACAAGTTTTCACAAAATCATCCTTCAGTCTGGATGAATCATTCAGTGGAAGAAGCTACGTCGGTAAAGGTTGGCAAGGTTGTCTGAAATCGGCTTGCATGACTTCAATCTCCTGATGCTTTTCTGATGTGATGTAAACGCAATATGTCTTGGTGTTGACTTTGTTGATGTATCATGTCTTAGTCAGGTGGATGCATGCAGCATAGTCTTCATGGATCATCATTGGGACTCAATGATGGATGAAAACAGTAAGTACTTTGAATATGCTGAACAAGATCTCTCAACCATGTCTCACGTATGGCATAGTGAAATAATGAGTCTTGGAATGATTCAAAGATTTTGCAACTAAGGTCATATCATGGACCTCCAAGATATTGCAATATCCCTAACAGTAAAAACATAAACCATTCAGGGATGTGCTTTGTGTGGGTTTGATAGTAACCAGCATCAGCATAACAAACAAGGCAAGCATCATTCCGATGATCAAGGGCTCAAATCTTCTTGGGATTCATTGGAATTAGCCCAAATTCGTAGTACCTTCAAGGTAGCGGAAAAACGTCTTTAATACCAATTCAGTGGTTGTGTGTAGGCGTAATGCTGCATCTTTACCAACAGATTAATAACGAGATGTCCTATATAATGCAATAAGCTAAGCACAACAAAGCGCAAAGTTGAACTCAGATATGGAACTTTGGATTCCACAACCTCTTCAAGGTCTCATTTGCATATAGCCTATGGAAGATCATAAGTATACTCAAAGGTAACACCTTCAGGGGTGTGTAGTTCGACTAGTAGACCAAAGTACCATCAGAACAACGCTTGAACTTTAGGTCAATGTATAAATGAGTTTTCTCAAGATCCATCATCTCAAATTTCATCTTCAAGTGCAAGCAGTTTTCTCAAGCTCTTCCAGAATTTTAGTGAGATTCATGTCATTGACATAAAATGTAACTCTAGCAATTTGGAATAAGACTTAATAGTTTAACATGCAAGGGCATAATTCATATCCCTATGAAGAAACACTAATCACATTCGTAATGCTGCAGTGAATCACAGGGCGTTTGAGAGAAACTTTGTGCCATAAGGCGTGCAACATATCGCATTATTTCATTCATCACATTACGCTTCATTTCCCACTTGTAACATAATAGGGTTACCTTGGGCAGTGTAGGAACTGCAAGTTCAAACATACTTTGGCAAGGAAGACTCCAGCCAGACTTAATGCCATCTATTATTGTCATGTTCCTCTTTTAGCAGATTTGAGGTCCATTGGAGTGGAGCTAGGAGTGGAAGATCGAGGAGAAGCCTTGCTTGCTAATTTCCAGGTTATGCCAGTTTTAATTGATCGTGTGCTTGAGGCTCAGATGATTGACAAGGAGACCCAGGAAATAATTCAAGCAAGGAATCAAGGCAAAAAGAAAGATTTTGAAATTCAAGAGATGGCATGCTTATGCAGGAAAGCAGAATGTATATGCCGAATAATGCAGAATTAAAGAAAGAAATTTTGGATGAAGCACATATTTCGGCATATGCGATGCATCCAGGAGGCACTAAGATGTATCATACCATTAGACCATTTTACTATTGGCTAGGTATGAGAGAAATTGCCGAATATGTGAGTAGGTGTGCCATTTGCCAACAGGTTAAAGTTGAAAGAAAGAAATCGTTTGGGTTGATGCAGCCACTTCCCATTCCACAATGGAAATGGGAAAATATTACTATGGATTTTGTATACAAGCTTCCTCGCACACATAATGGTTATGACGACATTTGGGTAGTAGTTGATCGGCTTACGAAGTCAGCACATTTTATTCCAATAAGGGAAAAGTATTCGTTAAGTCGATTAACTAAGTTATTTATTACACAGATTGTGAAGTACCATGGTGTGCCAGTTAATATTATCTCGGATCGGGATCCCATATTTACTTCCAAGTTCTGGATAGCATTCCA